AAAGAAGCAGAACCGCCAGACCCCCAAAAGCGCGCATTAGCCTCAACACAAGATAGACAAGCCTAAGCTCCAAAACTTCTGCCAACTCATGCTTTCCCGGTTGTTGGAGATAGGTAAGGCTGGCAGCCAAGTCTGAATGAAAGCTACTCTGGGGTATGTGTGGGCTCAGGCTTTCGAGCTTTGAGTGTTCTAGAGGCTCCAACGTCGTTCGGCTTGAGGTTTTGAGGCGTCAGGCTTTGGGGCGTTTGGGGCTCCGGGGTTCGAGGCTTCAGGGCTTCAGGTTTAGGGTTTAGTGTTTAGGGTTTATTTGGGTTTTGGGTTTTGGGGTTTTGTTTTGGCGTGAGAAGGTTTAAAACTTCTGCTACAACTTATCCTCATGCTAAAGGCATCGCAGCCACCATGCACATTCAAACTTGGGATGCTCCCGCTTATACTAGCAGTCCTGAATAGGGATTCTAGTACCCCTTCTAAAACCGCGATTAAGGAGCTGCTAGTACAAGCGGGAACATCCCAAATTCCCTAAACCCTAAACCCTAAACCCTAAACCCTAAACCCTAAACCCTAAACCCTACAACGCCACCCAAAAAAGGCTGTCGACGCTGTCGGTTTTCTACTGGTGCTTCGACATCATCCTGGCCTTCAATACAGGCTACCTCCGAAGCTTGGGCTCATGTGAAGCAGGGCTTATTTGGGGCATATATAGGGTTTAGGGTTTAGGGTTTAGGGTTTAGGGTTTAGGGTTTAGGGTATGTGGGGGCGGGGGGGGGGGTTCCGAAATTAGGGGTACCTTCTTGCGGTCCTGCTCTTCAGGGGATCCATATTGGGGCTCCCCTATTTTCGTAAACCCTCATGTGAAGCAGGGTTTCTATTCCCTAAACCCTAAACCCTAAACCCCAAGCCTTAAACCCTAAACCCTAAACCCTAAACCCTAAAGCCTAAACCCTAAACCCTAAACCCTAAACCCTAAACCCTAGACCCTAAACCCTAAACCCTATTCCTGTTCTTGGTGAGCGTATACAAGGTTCCTTTTGTTACGGGCTCGAGGTGCCTGTAACCCCTCATGGACGGGGCTTTCGTTTTCGGGTTTGGGGTTGAGGGTTTGGGGATTAGGGCTTAGGGTTTTTGGGTTTAGGGTTTAGGGAACGAAGAATGCTTCCCAGACCCCCAGGATCCAGAAAGTAGATCCCCTTAAAAGGGGTCTTAAGAATGACTCGATTTCTTCCCAGACCCCTGGGGTTCAAAAAGTAGATCCCCTTAAAAGGCTTCCTAAGAATGACCCGATAGTAGTATAGGTTGGGATGTTCCCGCATATGCTAACAGTCCTTAATGGGGATTATAATAGGGGATACTATAACCCCTATTTAAGGACTGTTGGTATAAGGGGGAACATCCCAAAGTATAGGGTTCTTTTTCTAGACCCGGGAGGAACCTAGGAATGAAAAGGGTGCCCTTTTTGGTTTTTAAGGGGATTAGAAGGGAACCCCAACCCTAAAACAGGCAAAAAGGGCCTACTCCCGGTCCTAGACTTAAGGGTTCGAGTACCTTTTTGGATCCAACGAGGGGTAAACCCTAAACCCTAAACCCTAAACCCTAAATCCTAAACCCTTCTTCATCCCGCAAAGAACGAACGCCCGAAGCGAAGTCCTCCAAGAGCCCGAGGGCGGCGCCGAGCGATATCTTGGTAGCCCAGTCGTACCCTTCTCCTTTTTTTGGGTTCAAGGTTCCCCTTATCAAATGGCTAACCCAAAAAAAGGGTGCCCCTAGTTTAGTATGGTCCAGGACCGGGAGTAGGCCCTTTTTTCCTTTTGTTAGGGTTGAGGTTCCCTTATAATCCCCTTAAAAACAGAAAGGTACCCTTATTATTCCTAGGTTACTCCCGGGTCTGGTGGATACTGGGCTACCAAAATATTGAGCCACTCAGCGCTCGGGACTGAAGGGAGCTGCAAAGAGAACCCGAAGCCCTAAGCCCTAAACCCCAAACCCCCCAACCCTAAGCCATAAATCCTAAACCCTAAGCCCTAAACCCTAAGCCCTAAACCCTAAACCCTAAATCCTAAACCCTAAACCCTAAACCCTAAACCCTAAACCATTCATTTTCCGATGGAAGCCTTGAACCCCCAAAGGCCACGGAGAAAGCCGTGCCCTAGGTACTGGTGCTACTATTTGCTTAAGAGCCCGACACAAGAATAGAAGAGAGTCATCCCTATATTACCCCTGCAATGAAGAATAAGTGGACTTTTTGAACAAAACTAAAAGAGAACAATCCCTATAACGCCCCGATAAGGAAAAACATTTTGATTATTTAATTATTAGTATGTTGTTTTTTGTGGGGGGGATGGAGCCACAACACGCGCTGAGGCCCTGGATACCTCAACTCCACTTGAATACCAAACGAGATGTTGCCTCACCCGAACGGGGCCTAAGAATCAATCAACCCCCTCACCCTAAACTCTAAACCCCAAACCTTGGCATGTTCCCCTCATACTAACAGTCCTTTATGGGGATTTTAATAGGGTATACGATAATCCCTTTTGAGGACTGTTAGTATAAGGGGTACGGCCCAACCTAAGCCCTAAGACCTAAACCCGATACCCTGTACTGCCCCTGCATCTGCCTCTGAGTTGTAGAGTCTTAAGTGAGCCTTAGGGTTTAGGGTTTCGGGGTTAGGGTTTAGGGTTTCATATGTAGGGTGTAGGGTTTAGGGTTTGGGGTTTAGGGTTTAGGGTTCAGGGTTGAGGTTGCTTTTGGGCTTTGGGGCTTTCGGGTTTTTGGGGGTGTTAGGGGGGTTTAGGGTTTAGGGATAGCCCTTACTCCTTGTATTTGAGTGTTCTGGAGAAGGCTTTCAAAATAAACCAAACGCTCAGAACCCAAAACCCTAAAGCCTGAACCCTAAAACCCTAAACCCCAACTTCCCCCCCCCCCCAAAGGCAAAAAGCCCAACATTCTTTGAGGATCCACAGCCTCTTCCGGACAGCCTCTTCGGGAGATTCCTCATATTATTAGGAAGCCAATGTAGTTGAATGTATATTCCTTAACTAAGGCCCTCTGTGTTAAAGTTTCGGGCTATCCCCTCCCACTCCCCCCCCCCCCCCCCCCCCCCGCCCCTCCCCCAAAATTTTCACAACCATCCCGGTGTTCCCTAAACCCTAACCCCTAAACCCTAAACCCCAAATGAGGCAAAGGGGAAATGGTCTGGAGCAGACGAAGCCACTGGATCCTGTTTGCTCTCTCCCTTCGGGATTAGGGTTTAGGGTTTAGGGTTTTGGGTTTTGGGTTTAGAATAGGGTTTTAGGGGATTCCACGGACTAGTTATACAAGGACTGTGAGGGGATACTAGCGAAGCCATCATTCCGACGCCAAAAGTAGTTCTCCAGATTGGGCTCTTTCGGGCGGTTAGGGTTCGTAGGCTTTAGGGCTTAGGGTTTCAAAACCTTAGACCCCAAACCCTAAGCCCCAAACCGGCACTTTCTTACAGCAGAGCTAGAGTTCGGATGTGCCTGATTTCCGCAGCATCTTCAGGATCTTTATAAACTTTAGGTGTTTAGGGTTCTGGGATGTTCCCCTGTATATTAGCAGTCCTTACTAGGGACTATAGTTCCCCTATGATAATCCCTATCAAGGACTGCTAGTATAAGGGGGCACATCCCCAGTTTCGGGGTGCAGTACAGAATTGCAGGTACCAAGAGGTGCACAAAGGGTGCAGAGATCACCCGGACCATGGTACACAGGGCTGGTCGCATCCTCGACACCCCTTAAACCCTAAACCCTAAACCCTAAACCCTAAACCCTAAACCCTATACCCTATACCCTAAACCCTAAACCCTAAACCCTAAACCCTAAACCCTAAACTCTAAACCCTAAACCCTAAACCCTAAACCCAAACCCTGAACCCTAAACCCCCCCCCCCCCCAAAAAATAAAAAAAAGGAACTACGTGGGTAGTGTCTAGTTTTGGACTTCGAGTTCGCCCCTACTGTTTAGAGACTTGCAGTTCATTGTGACCTGGCCCCATAATCTGGAATAGGTTTAGGGTTTAGGGTTTAGGGTTTAGGGTTTAGGGTTTAGGGTTTAGGGTTTAGGGTTTAGGATTTAGGGTTTAGGGTTTAGGGTTTAGGGTTTAGGGTTTAGGGTTTAGGGTTAGGGTTTAGGGTGCAGGGTTTAGGTTTTAGGGCTTCGGGTTTGTGGACGAGGGTCCCGCGTGGCAGGCATTGCCTTCCATTATCTGCGGACTTGGTTCCTGATCGATATCTCGGCTCCTGGACTGACCTAGGACCCGGAGAAGGCCCCCTTATTTCCGGTTTTTTTTGAGGGCTGGGGTTCCCTGATACTCCCCTTAAAACCCAAAAAAAGGGCAGCCTTTTTATTCCTAGGTTACTCCTGGGTCTCGCGCGTGTCCTAAACCCCAAACCCTGAACCCTTAACTACCCTGAGCCCTAGTCCCTAAAGCCTCTTTGTAGGGTGTAGAACTGATTTTGAGTCGAGCTGCGGCTCAGACAGCAATGGTGCCCTGCTAAATCCTGAGCTCCAAACCCATGCAACTTCGGGTTAGGGTTTTCGGGGTTTGGTCCTACTTCCTAGTGCGACAGACTCGTGGGTTGGCACAATCTCCTCAAGCTGAGAAACGCTTGTAATAATTCTGAAGGTGAAGGTGAAAAGACCCTGGGATCCATCCCACCTGTCATTCTTGCCCATGAGTCCGCCCTTAGGACCATAACTCTCAGATCTTGGTCTTTACGCCCTTGTTCACCCATCAGCTAACTCCTGGTGTTCGTACGTTAACCTCGTCTTATCTCTCACAAGCTGGTGCCCTCACTCTCTTCTATCACACGGTACATGCATAAAGTGAGTAGTCAAGTAGTGAATTGCAAGGAAGAATGACGCATAAATTGAACAACAAGCAAAATTAGCAAATTAATGAAGAATACAGACAGAGTAAAATATGCGGGGTTATTCTTACGATTAGAATAAGAGCCCCGTTGCAGTACATTCAATAGGGGCGAAACTTTAACAACATGTATTCCGCGCAATACTAGTATCTTTATTCTCGTAAGCGTGAGGATAATAACACTCATAATCGTGCTTAATTTATTGTAACAACAGTGTGAATGAAAAGATGAACGACCACGTGGGCACATAATAAAGGCGTCTTTTGGCCCGCGAGCAAGATCATGAAAGTAAATAGCTGGCTTCGTTCACTTAAAGGGCAAATTAAAACATTCATGCGTGTCCTATTAATGTTATTTGTTTGCCCTTTAATGTTCTCTTCACCTTTTTGTTATTCCGAATATACCGACACAATAGCAGAATTACTGAGCGCCGGGGAAAAAGCCCACAATTAGAATTGGAAAGTGTGTTCACTTCGTTCCGTGTGTTTTCATCAAGAATTTTTCTATGTGCGAGTAAGAAGACTTCTTGTGCGCTCCGTTCATTTCGTGCATTCGTGCGCACATTATGATAATTTCATGCGTTAGCTCATCAACTATGTATTAACGTGCTTACTTCAGTCTCTTCATGCTTTTAATTGTAAACGCTTGCGCGCGCCGCCTCGGCAGCCGGGCCGGCCCCAGAAAGGAGGAAAGAGGGTTTCGCAAAAAAAGGGAGGAAGGGCAGAGGGGTAAAGGGGGGGTGGGGGGAGGTGGGGGGGGGTTGGGGGGGGGGGGTGGGGGTGGGCGGGTGGGGAGGGGGGGGGGGGTGGGGGGTGGGGGGGGGGGGGGGGGTGGTGGGGGGGGGGGGTGGGGTGGGGGGGGTTTTTGAGGAATTTCCCTGTAGGAGCCACCGAAAGGCAGGACCCTCCACGGCGTCGGTTTGCAGATCCTCCAAGGGATTGGGGGGGGTCCCACAGGGCGGGGGGGGGGTGGCGTCAGAAAATTCGGCATGGGGGGAAGGGTTGGGTTAGGGGGAAGGAGGCCCGATCCGGGTCTGCTTGTTCCAGACGCTTCTCGGCAGGAAGCCGAGGCGAATAAGAACATTCGGTCGTGTGAACAGTAAGATCTTATTATGCGCCTGTACTGCGATCGTATTTGAGGGCGCTCACGTACAAACAATACATGACTGCACTCACAATGTTCACTTGTAATCTTACCCGAACGAAGCCTAAACCCTTTACCCGAAGCCCCAAATCCTGTTTTGGGAAAAAGGGTTTAGGGTTTAGGCTTCACTTTTGTATCTTTCCACTGGGGCTGTACGTAATTAACCTAGATTGGTCAATCGGCCTCTTTGAAAAACTAGTTATACATGTATCCTAAACCCAAAACCCCAAACCCTCGGCGGGTATTTTCTGTATGGGGCATTCAAAAGGCAAACATCTCGAAGCCCCAGACGAAACTCTAGCAGGGTTTAGGGTTTGGGGTTTAGGTTTAGGGCTGCCCTAAACCCCCCAAGCCCTAAACCCTAAACCCTAAACCCTAAACCCTAAACCCTACACCCTAAACCCTAAAACGTTCATCCCGAGGTTACCTTTGTTGATCTCTCGCTCGAGTTCCTCGCCTTCGCCGAGTCAGCCGCAGCGGTCCAGTTTTTCCGTCGCCGGGTCTCAAACCCTTCTTGGGGTTTAGGGTTTAGGGTTTGGGGTTTAGAGTTTAGGGTTGAGGGTTGAGGGTTGAGGGTTTAGGTTTGAGGGTTTTTGTGCGTTTTGGGGTCTGGGGTTTTTTGGGTTTAGGGTTTCGGTTTTAAGGGTGGACGGGTGAGTTGGGGTTTACCTTTCCGTCGTCCGCTTCAGGACTTAAGGTATTCTCATGTAGTCACATCTCTCAAGTACGCTGTACTGTGCTAGAAGGCGGCCCCTAATGCCCCAAATCCTAAATCCTTAACCTTAAACCCGAAAAGGCCCCATAGTTTCGAGAACTGACCATATAGATGACAGGCTCCCGTCACCAGCCCGGAAGCCATGAGCTCAAAATTTTCGCAGCTCCTGGCACCCATAAGCTTGAGGTTAAGGCTCGGGGCGGGTTAGGGCCAAATCAACCCTCAACCCTAGCGTGGGTTTAGGGTTTAGGGTTTAGGGTTTAGGGTTTGGGGTTCCGGGTCTAGGGTTCAGAGTTTAGGGTTTCGGGTACACTGTTTGAAGGTTGCCTGCTCTTCCTGCGAGCCCAAAGGAAGAAACAATTGGCGTAAGGTGCGACTTCTAGACATCCCTCAACCCCTTGGACTCCGCCTCCAAAAACCTCTCCCGTCTGACACGCCTTCAGTGCTCGAAATCCTAAGTGGTACTGACACCCTAAACCGTAAACCTTAACCCTAGACCCTTAACCCTATTCCGGTCCTTTCTAGGGTTTAGGGTTAATGAGTTTAAGGTTACCCAACTACATTTCCTTTAGTGCGGGGCAGGCTTGTCTATATAGTAGCCCTAGTTGAGACCTCTGTCCTTGAGGTTGCAATAGTAACTCAGTCCAAGGCTTTCTCCGAATTGAGATTTGCTTCTGAAGGAGTAGGGTATAGGGTTTAGGGTTTAGGGTTTAGGGTTTAGGGTTTAGGGTTTAGGGTTTAGGGTTTAGGGTTTTGTAGGGTTTAGGTCTACCCAACTACCTGAACTGAAAGACCCTATAAAGGTTGAGGAGTTTGGGTTCGGGGGTTGAAAACCCTGGCAGACACCCCAAAGAACACCAAACCCCAAACCCTAAACCCCAAACCTTAAACCTTAAACCTTAAACCCTAAACCCCAAACCCTAAACCCCAAACCCTAAACTAAACCTCAAGCCATAAGCCCTGAAACCTGCTGAACCCTCAGCGAATCTGCCCGACGGTCTCCCACACGACCTTGCTTAATCCCTTCCCCCTAATATTAAACACCCCCTACCCCCCCCCCCCCATATACTATAACATAACCAGAATGTGGGGTATTTAATATTAGGGGGAGGGGGGGGGAAATACAAGGGGGAAGGGATTCAGCCTTTTTGCAATATCGCATTGCTGGCCGACATTGCGTTCTGACAAAGAAGGCTGCAGCAGTTGCCCAGAAAAGCCATTAGAGCACCAAGCACAGCCTCAGCCTCAAACCTAAACCCTAAACCCAAAGCCCGAAACCCTAAACCCTAAGCCCCAAACCCTAAACCCCAAACCCTAAACCCCAAACCCCAAACCCTAAACCCTAAACCCTAAGCCCGTGGTTTGGCTTCTGCGATGCCCCAGGCTTCTTGCGCGTGCTGCGCATGCTACGGCTCGGGAAGGCAGCGACACGCTTCTGCAAACGTGGGGCCTTGGGGGTGCGGGGCTTTGTAGGGCTTACGGCTTAGGGTATAGGGTATAGGGTTTAGGGTTTCAATTAGGGGTCAGGGCTTCGGGCTAGGGTTTTGTACCCTAAACCCTAAACCCTAAACCCTAAACCCTAAACCTTAAACCCTAAACCCTAAACCCTAAACCCTAAACCCTAAACCCTAAACCCGGTGTTTTAGGCCTTTTTGCGGGGTGTGGCGGGTTTTGTATGTTCATGGTGTCCTGGGTTTCCGGGACTGGAGAGGGGTGTACGGGGTTAGAGTTTGAGGTCTTCAGGGCTCTGGGCCGGAGAGGGGTGTGGGGTTTAGGGTTTAGGGTTTAGGGTTCAGGGTTTAGGGTTTAGGGTTTAGGGTTTAGGGTTTAGGGTTTAGGGTTCAGGGTTCAGGGTTCAGGGTTCAGGGTTTAGGGTTTAGGGTTTAGGGTTTAGGGTTTCCCCAAGCGCTAAACCTGAGGCACCCTAAGACAGAGGAGGGTGCTTTGCCTTCAGCGCTTCTGGGCCTGCAGGGTCAAGCAAGCACCTAAGCCTTACCTTAAACAAGGTTCCTAGCAGAAAAATCCCCTTGTCGGATTCTTTCAACCCTAAACCCTAGACCCTAAAGCCTGCAAGAAGCGTCGGCTGTGGATCTGTGAGGTAAGCCCCCCCAAATAAGCAGGTCGGCCAGATCTCAGCCTTCTTCCAGGACAAACTTGAATCCGAGGTGCTCAGGTTTTAGGGTTTCGGGTTTAGGGTATAGGGTTTAGGGCTTAGGGATTGGGATGTTCCCTATTTATACTTTCAGGCCTTCATGAGCAAGCGCCAAAACCTCCAGTCATTCAAGTAAGCAAGGGGTGGACACGAATGCCCAAAACCCTGCAAAGCGATGGGAACACCCGAAAAGCTACGCCCCGAAGTTGATGAACCGTCGGGTGGGCGTTAGCCTTAAATTCGCCCAAATCGACACCTGCAGACATCCAACGTGGATAACTGGTGCTGAGACGGTTTTGGTCGTTCAAACAGAATTATTGTACCCCCGCCAGTATAATCCCCATTAAGGACTCTTAGTATTAGGGGGAGCATTCCAATTTAGGCATGTTTGCGGTTTAGGGTTTAGGGTTGAGACTAATTACAAGGGCTAACTTAGAAGAAGAGCCCACTTGCAACACCTTGAATTTTGCGCAGGTGATACTGACACCTCACATCCCGGGCTTGGGTTTCTGAATGCCGTATGGTAGGTCTTGCCTTAAAGCCCTAAAGCCCTAAACCCCTAAAGCCCTAAAGCCCTAAAGCCCTAAACCCCAAACCCCTAAACCCCTAAACCCCTAAACCCCTAAACCCCTAAACCCCTAATTCCCAAACTTTACAAGCCTTCGTGGTGCGAGGGGCTTCAAAAGGCAGGAGGTCGTCCCCTCGTGTTTCCAGAAGAGCGCAGCGGGAATACGGCTTGGGGCTTTGGCGGGGATTTCATGGAACCTCGTATTTTGGGAGCATAACCAACATCTGTGCGAGGATCCTTATGATGCTTACATAGTGGGTTCCGGAATGAAGGGGTGTCCGGGTCTGGGAAAGAGCAAGTGTGCCTAAACCCTAAACCCTAAACCCTAAACCCTAAACCCTAAACCCTAAACCCTAGACCCTAAACCCTAAACCCTAAACCCTAAACCCTAAACCCTAAACCCTAAACCCTAAACCCTAAACCCTAAACCCTAAACCCTAAACCCTAAACCCTAAACCCTAAACCCTAAACCCTAAACCCCCTAAACCCTAAACCCTAAACCCTAAACCCTAAACCCTAAACCCTAAACCCTAAACCCTAAACCCTAAACCCTAAACCCTAAACCCTAAACCCTAAACCCTAAACCCTAAACCCTAAACCCTAAACCCTAGACCCTAGACCCTCGACCCTCGACCCTAGACCCTAGACCCTAGACCCTAAACCCTAAACCCTAGACCCTAGACCCTAAACCCTAAACCCTAAACCCTAAACAACCTGGAGGTTGCCTTCATGGAGTTCAGTCTCTTCCTTGTGGTTCTCAGCATGATGCTGACTGAGTGACCCTCCCTGCAACAAGGTCGTCTCCGGTTTTAGGGTTTAGGGTTTAGGGTTTAGGGTTGTGGGTATACCAGGGTTTCCGAAGTCAGGGGTACCTTACCGGGGGTCCCGCAACAAGATCATCTCCTAGGACCCAGAGTAGGCACTTCTTCCCGTTTTTGGAGGTTCAGGATCCCTTACAAACCCTAAACCCTAAACCCTAAACCCTATATAAGCCCTAAGCCCTAAACCCTTAGAAGCGCGCTGAAACCAAGAAGGGCACCCTGTTACTTCCCGGGTTATTCGTGGGTCTAGACTCCGGCTGAGAAGCATGCCTAAACACACGTGCCCTAAACCCTAAACCCTAAACCCTAAACCCTCAACCCTCAACCCTCAACCCTCAACCCTCAACCCTCAACCCTCAACCCTCAACCCTCAACCTTGGTATGTTCCCCCCCTTACACCTAAGAGTCCTTAACAGGGAACACAGTAGGGGGTTCTACAATCCCTACTAGGGACTGTTAGTATAAGGGGGAACATCCCTAAACCCTAAAACTCTAAACCCGAAACCCGAAACCTTAAGCCCTAAACCCTAAACCCTAAACCCTAAACCCTAAACCCTAAACCCTAAACCCTAAACCCTAAACCCTAAACCCTAAACCCTAAACCCTAAACCCTAAACCCTAAACCCTAAACCCTAAACCCACTTCTTAGGTTCGGGTGCGAGCTTTGGACATTTCCCAAAGTCGTGGTCCCCTGAACGTATCACCAAAATACTCTACTCCGTAGTAAGTACAGGAACCTACCCGAAAAGGGTACTCGTTACGGTTAGAAGTCCGACTTTGAATTTCGGGTTCCGGGGGCGAACTCACCCGCTGCGTTTTTGGGGGGGGCTTTCCACAGAGGCAAGAAATGCTACAACTACAAAAACGAAACATTTCAAGGAATTTCCATATATAAAAAACGAAAAAACAGTTGCCGCCAAAAACAGCCAGTACCAAAAAACCCAAACAACCCAAAAACACCAATTTTCCAGGATTCTTCGAAAAAGCAATTTCCACAAAACCAAAAAACCAATTCCCGCAAAACCAAAAAACCAATTCCCACAAAACCAAAGAACCAATACCAAATAAACCAAAAGAACCAAAAAACATCAATTTTCCGGGACTCTGTGAAAGCTGTGGAGATAAGCTTACAAATCAAAAGCCCCGGAAAATTGTTTTTTTTGGTTTTCTTGGTTCTTTTGGTATTGGTTTTTTTGGTTCTTTGCGAATTGGTTTTTGGGGACAATTGTTTTTGGTTTCGGTGTCCCAGTTCCCCCTATGAGCCATGCACTCACATCCAAACAAATAATCTGGCAGGTCTTTTGGCTGCTTACTCGGATTACAGTTTGAACCTATCTTATACAGAAAAATGTATATGAGATGCTACTCCCCTTCCCGGCCCCCCTCCCAAACCCAGGTTTCGTGCACTTTTTGTCGTAAGGATATGATACTCAGCTGATTTGGATGAGTATCATGCAAGACCTTATGTGCTTGTGAGTCTTGCGGAAAATTTGAAACTAAGCACTATTTTTGAGAAATGAGAACCATGTTGGGAGAGCTGTGGAAAGCATTGAAATTGAACAAAAAGAGATCTTTGTAGCAGCCTGTTGGAAGGTCTCAGGAAATAGTGAAAGGATAATTGCTCACAGTATTCTCACGTCCCCGGGGGTTGCAATGAAAGGTTTTTTTTGCATCACCCTATGCCCTCGAAAACTTCCTAGTCTTATGGTTCGAGGATTACCATCCTTTCTTCTCCATCAAATATCTGTCTTTGATATACAAAAACACATATACCCCAGATACATACATGATGTGTGTACTTATTCTGCTTTTGCGTTTCCACAGGAGGCAAGCCCTACAAACGTAGGCAAAGTCCGATGGGATCCAAGGTCTAGGGATTTTTTGCCTCAAGCCCTACAGGGGTGACAAGGATCAATTCCTATAGGTAACGCTGAAAACTGAAACACGAGATCTTTTAATTCTTTAGGGTTTCATACTGACATACATGCATGCATACATACATACGTACATACGTACATACATACGTAGTTGTTGTAGGGCTAACCCCGTTCCTATAGGGTTTCTCTGTGGGCTCAGGTTTACATGCCTAAATCTTAAACCCTAAACCTTTAAATCTGACCCAATAGGGTTTAAAAGGTTCGCCGAAATACGAACCTAAAGGGCTTAGGGTTAAGGTCTTAATGCCGAAATCTTAAACCCTTGAGTTTAAACTTTAT